TTCTCCGTACAACAAAGTAGTTTCTCTCCATTAGAGAAAAATCCCATTATGCTTGTAATTAACCCCGGCCAGCAAATTTCTCGGTCGGCCGGGCCGCGCGAGCGTCGCGGGGGTGGGGGCGGGGCGGAGGCGGGGCGGGGGCGGGGGTGGAGGCGGGGGCGGGGCGGGGCGGGGCGGGGGCGGGGGCGGGGGCGGGGGGGGGCGGGGGCGGGGGCGGGGGCGGGGGCGGGGGCGGGGGCGGGGCGGGGGCGGGGGTGGAGGCGGGGCGGGGCGGGGCGGGGGCGGGGGCGGGGCGGGGGCGGGGGCGGGGGCGGGGCGGTGGAAGGGTGGGACTGGCGCCGGCAGCTTGGCCAGACTGGAGCGGTTGCCGCTGCGCTGCCTGCGCTGCCTGCAGGCTGGGAGTCGTTTCCGTCGCTCTGTCTCTCTCGCGCCTCCACGGCGCGCCCATGAGTGCGAGAGAGACAGAGACGGACTCTCGACCCGCTGCAGCGGAATGCAGCGCCCTGCGAATGACACGCTGCCAGTTATTTCGACCATCGCCCGGCCAATTATGCTGTCCGTCCATCCCCTCGCGCATGCCCGACACCGCGCGGCCCCGCTGCGCAAAAGGAGAGAGAGAGTGAGAGAGAAAGAGGACGGCACGGGCACTGCCACGCGCTTACCGATGCCGATCGCGCGGATCGAATCTCGACAACGAAAACGCGAGTTTCGCCCACGGCCGCCGAAATCCCTGAATCCGGAGACAATTTTTGGTGTTAATACGATGGTGCTAATTATTCATCGTGCCCATTGGAGAGGAATTCTCATTATGTTAGTAATTAAACTTGGGCGCGCGGGGCGGCGGGGGGCGCGGCCGGGGCGGAGGGGGAGGGGGCAATATAGAGGGCGCGGCTACGCGGCCCCAGTATCAATCATTAGCCTCAACCCTGATAGATAAGCACCGCCTTCCACGTTATTCATAACGCCTTTTGATCCGCGAGGCGGCCAGAGGCGGCCTCTCACAGCCTTCTCCACTGCGCGCTGCCAACGCGTCCGACAGCGTGACTTTGCCCGGAAGGGGGCGCTTTTGGCAATCAGTGCACCACTGTAAAAAATAAAGTTCAGTCAAAATGACTGACACTTTTCACTTCCCTTGCTGGGGTCTTCCTTTCATGAATATTCGGTGTTACCATCTCCTAGGAAACCAGCTAAATTTTATGCAATTTGATTTTTACGTTTTTGGACATTGACTAGGACTAGACGTATGATAATGTCTTACATCCAACTGATTTAAACATTTCAGGAGTGCATCAGATCAGTTGCCGTCAGGCAGCGTCAGGTTGAGGTTACGCGAAGTTGTGTTCAGTCGCCCCGCTTGTTACTGTCCCGGACGGGCCGACGGACCACCTACGCCCTGAGGCCTGATTGTTGCTGATGGCCGTCCGAGCCGCGAAAAAACGCGTTGGGCGTCCTCGAGGCCCTCTCGTCGGAGCCTCTCCCGTCCTGCCAGTCTTTCCACGTCTTTCCACGGCGGCACGCCTTGGGCACGCCCAGGCATGCCGAACCACTGGCGGTGGATCACCGCGTTTGCGACGCCGCTGGTGGCTCCGCGTGCTGCGCGCCCCCGCGGCCCCGCGAACCTCGGCCCACGGCCCCACGGCCCCACGGCTCCGCGGGTGCCTCCAGTGATATGAGATTCCGGAGATATGAGTCTTCGCCAGCGCGGCTCGGAATGCCTACACCGTAATGTTTATATCCGAGGAATGCCCCGCGAGGTCCGGCCGTCCGGCCGCAGTGGCAGAGGGCGGCCCATCCGTCTGCGTCTGTGTGTGTGTGTGTGTGGGTGGGTGTGGGAGTGTGTGGGAGTGTGTGGGTGTGTCGCCGTCCGTCGTCGAGCGTCGCAGTGCGCATTGCCACCTCCCTGATGGACTCGTCACAGCGACAGCCATCTATGACCGCATTAACATACCACACTGCAGAGTGTGGCTGCAGATATTTCACCAAGCGCACATGTTTGGTCGCCAGTAAATACTAAACTTCGTTTCCAAACAGGCGTCATCGTCGACATGAACCAACACCGACTCTTTGCAAATTCGTTCCCGCTTCGCGCCTCGCCCGTCTCCACCAGCGTGCGGCGACCGTCGCGACGGATTGCGACTACCTCTCCGCCTGGAAGCTGCCTGGAGCACTCAACCTGCATCCGTCCCCCGCCGCTCCGCGTGTGTGGCTCCAGGTGACACCGGACCGTGGGCTGGCTCCGAACAGCGCCAGCGTCGCGCCGTCTCTCTCTCGCACCCGTACGGCACGCGGCGCGAGTGCGAGAGAGACAGAGCGATGAGAACACTGCTCGGAGTCAGCCCACGGTCCCGCTGAGTGATTCTCAGCTCGCTTCCATGAATAAAGTAGTGGCCGCTGTGACAACCGCCACGCCCCGCCACGCCCCGCCACGCCCCGCCACGCCGTGGCGCGCCGTGCCTAGTGAGTGGATGACCGGCTGAGCCAGTCTGTGGCCCTAGTCCATCAGTATATTGCTCTCCTGTATACTTCATGAGAGGGTGTGTATGGGGTGTGGCGGCGCGGGCACGCCGCAGGCACGACCCCAGGAGGGGCCCTCCTCGGCCCTCCTGCAACCCCTGCAGAGTGGGCAACCTTTCTTCCAGATACTTCCATGATTCACCTGCCGCCGCCCCGCGCCGCCCCGCGCCGCCCCGCGCCGCCAAAACGGAGGGGAAGGGGACCAAGGGAACGGCGAGCGAGCAGTCAGACGAAAATCCGCGCGACAAAACGAGCGCGGCGGCGGGTATCGAACCGCTGTCACTTGGGAAAGGGGGCGGGCGCAGGCGGCGGCGCTGCAGCGCGTTGTCGGCGTTGGCGGGAAAGGGATCGGACGGGCCGAGTCGGGCCGGGCCGCGGGCCCCACCAAGGGCCCCACCACTGCACGGCCACAGAGGGCCGCCGAGGGCCGCCTGGACCGGAGACTGGCGGCGGCGCGGCAGCGCGGCAGATTAGATTGGACGCCTTGCCGACCGCGCCTCGCGCCTCACCGCACTGCACGTCGCTCGGTGTATTATTCATAGAGGACGGAGAAATAGAGCGGCGCGGCGGCGACTCGACATGACGGAGAAGCGCCAAAAAACACTCTCCTAATTGCGGGGAGAGGCGCGCCCGCCTGCCTGCCTGCCTGCCCGCCTGCCCGGCTCGCCCCACGAGACCTGTCGGCCCGCGGCGCAGCGGCCAGGCAGCGCGGCCAGGCAGCGCCACGCCCCGACACACCGGAGTGCGGTGCAGCGGGGCCAAGCGGCGGGTCGGGGCGGTCGGGGTCGCTCCAGCCGGCTTGCCTTTGCTTCCGCGCAGCACGGCGACGCCGCGGTCGGTCCGTCCGACAGACTCTGTCGGTCGGCCCGGGCGCCACCGGCCACGCGGTTTAAGAACGCAACCCCGCGCTACACCACGGCGTGCGTTCATTTTTACGACACTCCATTTTATGACATGGCGCCCTAAACGGGATAGGCCGTCGGCAGCAGGCCGACTCCGGGCGGGAGGTCAACCTGCCTCTCTCGCGCCCACGCGTCACGCCCCCCGAGTGCGAGAGAGAGGCCGCCCTCTCGGAGTCGGCCTGCTGCGCCTCGCCCCGCGCTTGCTTGCCCCTGCTTGGCCCTGCTTGGCCTAGAGATGTGCGCTGACCGGTCACGACGCCGCCGCCGTCGAAGGCAGCCGCGCCGCCGCCGCCGGTCCATACGGTCGGCGTAATCGGCGCGAATGAAACTTTTGGTGCTGAAGGTCTTAGATCACAAAATACCTCGAAAACCTGAAGTTTCCTTGAGCTAAACGCGTTTTTCTGGCAAAAATGAGCCACCCTGTATTCGTCTTACCTTCCCCTCCCCTCTCTCCGCTTTGGCGACGTAGTTCATTAAGATGCCGAAAAACTAACACGAAGAAAGTAAATGGTCTTTTACGTATTTAACGTATATATTTGTTAATAACTTCCTCTACTTGAGCACTTCTATCATTTTTAACATGTGATTGACAAAATTTTGAGACCCTATTGTTGGTAAAATCAAAATTTCTTTCACGCCGAATACGCCGATTACGCCGCCGCCGCCGGCCTTAAATTGGCCAAGCGCCGCCGCCGATCAAATTAGGGTCGGCGCACACGTCTAGCTTGGCCTGCTTGGCCTGCTCCGGCGGCGACGCCTGCACTGGCCTCCAAGGCGAACATCGCTTCGGCCGCCGTCTCCCTCGAACTCAAGCGGGTTGCTCCGTAAATGTGCGAGAGAGACAGCGTCGAAACGCTCTTCGAAATCATTCTCCTGGGCTGGCCCTGGGCTGGCCCTGGACTGGGGGTCTGCTGAGGGACGGAGGACCGAAGAGCGAAGGCCGAAGGGAGAAGGCAGGCAAAGCGGGGGTCCTCTGGGGGTCTCTGCCTCTGGGGGAACCGCAGCGATTGCAAAAGCCCTCATTTCCGGCAGAATACACCGAGGAGTGAGTGTCATAATCCCCAGCCAGCGGCATCGCCCAGGAAAAGAAAGAAGAAGAAGGAGAGGAAGACGGGCGCGGCGGTTTGACGCGCTCCGCCCGGGCCATACCCACTCCAATTAGGCTCTCTATCGACTGGATCGCAGCCACGGCGTGGCGGGGCGGGGCGGGGCGGGGCGCGGCGCGCTGCCATCAAAACCACCCACGCCACACCGCGGCGCGAAAACTGCACTACAATAAGGGGCGGGGGGTGCAGGCAGGGTGTAGGGGCCGGTAGGGGCGGGGGGCGGCCCGTCACAGAATCCTTGACAGAAGCACTCACCTAATTGTTCCGGTGGCGTCGCGGTAGTTACAGAAGCAATCATGTGGATTGCCTCGCCGGTCTCGCCACTCACGGCACGTCGGGGGTGGGGGAGGGGAGGGGGGAGGGGAGAGGGGAGGGGGAGGGCCTCCTCAGGGGTGGCTGGCTGGCTGTCTGGCTGTCTGGCTGGCTATGGTGTGCGCGCTGGCGTCGATGGCGGGCTTGTTTGTTCTCATTCACTCACATCGGCGGTGTTGGCACCACTGGCGGCACTAGCGCGGTCCTATCGCCGCCCGCCACTGTACTGCGGCACTGCGGGCACAAAAAGATACGACGAATTGGCGCGGGCTGCCGGGCTGGCACGCCGGAAACGCGAACGGGGCGGACAGGACGACGACGGAGGCGGAGACGGCGGAGACGGCGAGGGCAGGTGGACCGCCTCGCCTCGCCTCGCCTCGCCTCGCCGCGAGCACCGCGATGATGAGGGGGAGGGACGCGCCACTCGGCCCCGAGTCAATTACCAAGCAGATCCAACGTGACGCGAGGCTAGACGGAGACGCCACGCGACGCCACGCCATGCGATACGCAGCGGCTCTGGTCCCGCCCAGCCAGCAGGCCCAGCAGGGTGCCAACTGCCAACCAAACCGAGCTGAAAGAGCGTCAGCGCCGCCGGGACGGCCGGGACGCCGGCCTAGCGCAATGCGCTACCACTTAGCTCCGGGTGAAAGCAACCCCAACGAGTCTCGCCGGTAAATTGGCAACACTGACGCGGTGGCCCCTCGCTAACAGGCCGCTCCCCCCCCCTCCTCCCTCCCCCACGCCGCGCCGCCGTCTCACAGCCCGTTGCCGACTCTCGAGCAGCACGGGGCAATCCAATCAAAATAAATGACAAGATTTCAGTTGAGTTGGCGCGATAATTGGCAATTAAGAGAACCACAAAAGTCCTTTGTCGCCCGCCTGCGGCAGCCTGCGGCCCGCGAGCAGGCCGGGCCCGCGGCCCTCGACGCCGCGCCGTGCCGTGCCGTGCCGTGCCGTGCCGTGCCGCGCCCTGCCCGCCCTGCCCTGCATAAAGGGCGGCACGGTGACCCGAAATAGAACCTTCATTAGCATCATCAGCGCGCAAACGCAAACGCACGCGGGCTCATTATCCCTACATGCAATTTGCACTTTCAAATCCCACTGCCGGCTGGCTGGCTTGTTATTTTTGTCTCTCTTTCTCCGTCGCCTTCGCCTCATTCCTCCTCCGCCGCGTCTCGTCCTCGTCAGCCTCCCTTGCCGTCCTTCTGACTCCCTCGCGTCGGCATCGTCGTCGTCCTCCTCCGGCCTTCCGGCTGACCCTGCACACGCCGCCGCCGTGCCGCCGCCGTGCCGCGAGCCGAAAACAGCAACACGAATGGAAGCACGTGCGGCGGCGCGGGCGGCGCGTCGCCAGGGCGCCCAGCACGCCGCGGAGCACGGACGCCGACTCGAAGCGACGCCGGCGGCGTGGCGGTGTGGCGGTCGCGACTGACCGTTCAAAACGCGGCGCTGCGACAGAAACAAAGAGCCACCGACTACGAACCTGCACTGCTGCTGCGGCCAGCGGACGTCACCGCCGGGTCCAGGACGTCCGGGACCGGATGCAGGGACTGCAGGGACTGCAGGGACTGCACGGGGCACCGACAGTCCGCACGGCCCGCACTGGCGGCCACGCGGCCACACACACACGCACGCACGCTAACACGCACGCGCGGCCGGGGCGGGAAAAGCGCGGGAAGGGACAAAGCGCACCATGGCAGTGTCGCAGTGTCGGCGTGGCGCGGGACTCGCGGGACGAGACGGCGCGGCGGGGGCGGCGCGGCAGCGACAACCACTCGGCACGGCGGCTGGGAGCCAACTGAACTGCCAACTGCCTGCCGCCTCGCCTCGCCTCGCCTGCCCGGCCGCGGGGCTGGGGCTGGTCTGGTGGGGCCTGCGTCTCAGCGCCGCCGCCGCGACCACCCCCTGCCGCCGCCGCTACCGCCGCCACGCCGCAGCGGCTTTGTTGTTGTTTTGTGTGAGTGGGGCTGGAAATTGTTTTAGATGACGTGTGAGGCGGTAATGGCAGGGCGAGGCCTTTGGCCGCCTTTGGCCAGGATAAACAACAGGCGCCGATTCCGTCGCTCTGTCTCTCTCGCACAGCAAGGCGAGGTAGGGCACGGGCAAGGTGCGAGAGGGGCAGGGCCAGGCAGGGCAGAAGCGGTCCTCCAGCATCGCTCCGCCGGTGGCTCTATTTGCCTGGCTGCATCGGGGAAGGGGCAAGCGCGCGGTGGACGCGGGTTCTTCAAGATGTGCGCGCCGTGCGTGATTCCCACCAGCCAGACAACGGCCGACGCGACGACGCGAAACGCCTCTCCAAACTTTGCAACACGGCGATAACGCGCCGAGGGCCCCGGGCCCCGGCGGGCCGCGCCGTCAAAACATGCAAATTTACACAAATTGGGTAATTTATTTGCGCCTTAATTCCTAACTCTATCCGGATTGGTTTCGCCCGCCGCCCGTCCGTCCGCCCGTCCGTGTGTCCGCCCGCCGACGGAAGGCGAAGGGATGAAAGCAACATGTCGTCCGTCCTTGTCGCGCGCCCGGCCAGCCCGGCCAGCCCGGCCGCCGTGCGAGAGAGAGGGAGAGAGCGACGCCGCGGCAATCAGGGCACCGTTAATAATATCCTTCCCGCCCCATCCATCCTTCCCTACACATCCGCCAGTAATTAAATGTTGGGGGCAATAATGATACAAGTTGAGGACGCGGCGCGCTCATGGCGCGCAGCAGCTGCTGCCCACGGCACCCAGGGAGGGAGCGCGACGGACAGAGATATTGCGGCGCTGCCGTCCTCGGGAGGGAGCGAGACGGGCGACAGGGATATTGCCGCGACAGCGCCGTCGTCACCGCCGCTGCCCTCTGGCGGCCGTCCCTGGCGGTGGCAGATCTCCGACGCCTCCGACGCCAGCTATAACCGATGATTAAACTTATCGGAAACAATAACCATCCCCACCAAAACCACCGCCACCGCACCAGCCGCGCTGCGCACGTCGCCACCTCACTCTGGCCGCGGTTTCGAGTACCAGCCCCGGCGGGTCTTTTTTGCTCTCTCCCCGCGCCCCCTCCCCCCCCCCTTCCATCGAGTCCGTGTCGCTCGCTCCCTTTCCCCCGGCCGCGCTGCCGCGCTCCATCCGCATTCATGGGCGAGCGAGGGCCAATTAAGGACACCGTTTGATAATTTGTGTAATTGTTTGCAAATAAAGGGCTTTTCAATCGACTCGATTTTCGCCGATTGTCCTGCCGCCCCGCGCCGCGCCACCCCGCCCGGCCCCGCCCCTTTATTTACCCAACAGCGGCCCTTTTGTATCATTGTCATCATTACGGGGCGCCATTAGTCCCGCCAGGCAGCAAGGCTGAGTCTGAAACAGCGCTCTCGTCGCTCTGTCTCTCTCGCACTCGCGGGCCGGCTCGTCGAGGTGTGAGAGAGACAGAGCGACGAGTTCGGCACCATTCCTCTGCCAGCTAGACAGCCAGCCAGCCAGGGCCGGCGGTATGGAGTGTCAACACGGCCTCGGCCGCCGCGGCCCGGCGAGCACCCGCCACCCCGACACCCTGACCCTGCCCGACAACGAGGCGACTACGCGACGGGGCGACGGGGCGACGAGGTAAGCCTGCCATTTTGAGAACTTTGTCGGCTGCGTCCGCCCGTCTCCCACACCGCTATACGCCCGGCCGTCCGCTGTCGCTCTCTGGGGCGTGCTACGCCGTGCTACGCCGTGCTACGCGCTGCGCCGATGATGCTTCGTGCCGAGCCGTGGCGGGCCGTGGTGGGCAGGGCGGTAATTTGCATTAAAAAAGGAACACACTTTGGCACTCAGCCGGTAATGCTTCGTGGCGCGCGGCGTCGACGGGAAGGGGGTGGTGCGGGCCGGGAGAGAGGGGGTGCCCCCGCGCGGTCCCCATCCTGTTGGGCATTGGCGACAACCCCTCTCTCTCTCCCCTCCCCTCCCCTCCCCTCCCTCTCGCTCGCTCTCCGCCCTGGAAAATAGCCGTCTGTTTACAGCCGGACTGGCCGCGGCGGCATGGCGGTGTTAATGAGGTACCGCCCTTGGAATGCCGCTGCCGGCTGATCCCGAGCTCTGTCTCTCTCGCACTCGTGGGACGTCCGGGACGTCCGGTAAGGGAGCGAGAGAGACAGCGTCGAAATCAGTGCTCGGAACGGAACCAGCCTGCTGCCGGCGCGGCGCTGCCTCTCCGAGCTCGACGCCAGCCTGGCAGGCAGGCAGCCCAGCGGCCCGGCCTCACCTGTGCGCGCGCGTTGCCTACCCGCACGGCGTCCGACGCGCCGACCTGCCGGGCCACACCAATGGGGGCTCTCGGCCTCTCGGCGCGGCAGTCTCGGCCTCGGTCTCGGCCGCAGCACTGGCAGTGTCGCGGCGAGTCGAGGCAAATGGGGCGGACGAGGTGAACGAGGGGGGAGGAGGGGGGCTGCGGGCGGGGCGCACTGTTTCTTTCAATCTCCTTAATCTAAGAGCCTGTGTTGATACTGCTGCCCCCGCCACGCCCCGCCGCGCCCCGCCGCCATCTTGGACGCGCGCTGCACCCACTTCCGCTGATTAGGTAATCGATTTTATAGGAAGTAACGGAAGCAGCCACGCCACGGAGCGCGGCCGCGGCGGCTCGGGACGTGTCTGGAGACGCGAGGGCGGGGCGGGGGCGGGGCGGGGGAACGGGACGGACATCGGCCCTCTCCATCCTTCAAAGAGTCTGCAAACACGTGGCGCGCGTTTTGTCCGGCCGGGGCTTTGGCCACTTCGGCCTGCGCAGTCCGAGGCACCATGAAGGCACAGACGCGTGCTTTGAAGGGCAAGTGGCACGAGTGGCGCTCCGACTCCGGCGGCATCGGAAGGCGAGTGCACGCTTTGATGCTAGTTGGCTCGGCTCGCCCGGAAAGAACTAACTAGGGTGTTGTCGCAGAGAGGTAGATTCCTCGCAGCGGAAGAGTGTGTTTATTCACGGTGCTCGAGCGCATGTGACGTGAGGCTCAGCCCCGCTGGTGCGGTTCGTAGTGCTGCTGCGGCTGGTACGGCTGGAACTGCTGCTGCCTCTGGGGCGGGGGCTGCTGCGGCTGCTGCTCCGGCTGCTCCTCGGATTGGCCTTGCAGCTGGCTCTGGCGCTGCCGGAAGGCCGCCATCGCCTGCCCCGTCAGCATGCAGCACTTGGCGCTGCGGGCCGCGGGGGCGTCGTCGCCAAGGTCGTCGCCGCCGCGGTACCCCTCGTCCGCCACCACGCTCAGCGCCTGCGCCTCGCGCCAGCAGTCCAAGGGGCAGCCGCCGGAGCGCTCGTAGCACGCGCGCAGCTGTGGCACCACAAGCACGCCGTCAGCGTCGACGAAGCGCGCCGCGAGGTGGCAGACGGCGACGCCACACGCACACGCCACTCACCGCATCCCTGGCCTCCAGGTAGCCCGGCAGCGTCTTCCTGGTCCGGCACAGCGCGCGGATGTTGTCGGCCTCCCTCACCACCTCCTCCGGGGACAGCTTGCGGTCGCGCGCGAACGTGCCCTGCAGGTCTGCCAGCCTGGGCAGGGCAGGGGCAGGGCAGGGGCCGCCGCTAGAGCACGCCGCTAGAGCACGACGTCGCCGCGGCACTCCGACGCGCTTACCTCTGCAGGTACTTCTCGTCGCGCGCCGCGTCCTGGCTGGCGCTCTGCAGGCGGGCCAGAACCTCCATGGACACGGCCACCATGTCCTCGGCGGGGCGCTCAGTGCCGGCCAGGTCGCAGGGGCACGCCACAGTGCAGCAGCGGCCGCCCATCTGCAACAGTAGCCGTGTCCATCCCCTGTCGCGCAGCGCAACGCCGCGCAACGCCGTCATCCAAGCGGGTGTTGAATTCCATCCCCCTTGATTTGCTTAATTTCCCCCTTTTTCTGCTCTCCGATTGAAACTCGAGCCCTCCCCCCTTTTTCTCCTCTCCGGGCGGCGAGTCGTGGAACCGTGGTGGTAGACCCGCGTCGAACCGGCCGATAGGCTGCAGGGCGGCGGCAGGGCGCGGCACGGCGCGGCACGGCACGGCAAGGCACGGCGTGGTACACGTGGGTTCGAATACAGATGTCGGTGACGAGGACGACGAGGACGACGAGGCTCTCCAAGCAAGAAAAGTGCGGCGTGTTCCACTAATAGCGGTACGAACGGCTGGCGCGGCTGGCGCGGCGAGGACGCGCACCTGCAGCAGCGCCACGCCCCCCACCTCCCCCTCTCTGTCCGGACAGGGCCCATCCACTTAACTACACACTTCGTCCATTAGCGCCGCCACCAATGAGGTCGGCCCATGGCCCTCCATGGCCCTGCCGCCCTGCCGCCCTGCCCATGGCGATGCCTTCTTCTCCTTCTTCTCCTTCTGGCAGCCACTCGGCCCACTCGGCGAGGCGAGCCACACCCACGACCGAATCGCGCCGCGCCGCGCCCGCCGGGACGGCTGTTTAATTTGGTTAAGTACAATAGCACAAATTAGTGCTAGCGTGTGTCTTGCCCTCCCCGCGGACCTGCCGGGGCCACCGGGGCCACCGGGGCCGCCGGGGCCCGCGCGGGCTCAACAGGTGAATCACTATCGCCCGCTTTCGATCCGGACCATCCTCGGCCACGTCGACTTGATTCTGCAGCATTCGTCGCTCTGTCTCTCTCGCACCCGTCGCAGGAGTGCGAGAGAGACAGAGCGACGACGGCGCTGTGCGGCATCAGTCGGTGGGCAGAGTGCCGGCGCCTTAACTCATTCCCTTTTCCGACTCGAGGGCCCGTCGTCACATGCGCTAGCGCTTGCACACACACACGCACACACACACACACGGAC